AAGCTTTAATATTTTCAACTATTGTTCTCGGTAATTCTTAACATTTTACAAAAATGAAGTAATTTATTAAGGATGTTTTTACTTGGACTGTTTTCAATCCCAGTCACACCAAACCAGATCATACTTGTACAATTGTAAAATACAAAGAGACTATTTATTTACCAGATCTGATAGACCAGAAAATTCCAATCCAAGTAAAAACATCTTAACTATTGAAAATGAAATTCACAAAAATAGCATCTACTTTTCGGTTAGGAGTATTCTTAGGCTAAAATAACATTGATGTCCATAAAGAAAATGATGAAATTAAATTGTTTTAATTTAGTTGTTCATTAACAACTCCTATTAAATACTCCGTATTAAACTATTTATGAACAGACCATTCCTGAACAAAAAGTGTGTAAGAAGATTTTTTTTCTTTGTTAAGAGGCTACTACAGTACTACAATACCACCCAAAGCCATAGAGGTAATTTATTTAATGAAACTCTACATGCAAACTACAAAAATAAACCCCCAAGGTAGCCCTCCCTCTTAAAACACACCACAAAATCATGTTACCGTTATTCATCATCATCATCTATATGGAGTAAAATGTTTCTTGATGTTTATTAATAAGTGGTGCTCCTTATATAGGCACTCAAATACAAAGGATAACTATTAGAGTTTGAAATGCAGATATCTAATCCTACATATTCTCTAACTAACAGATAGTTTAACAAACTGATAAGATTACTTCAAAATTCAAATAAGCTGAATTTGATGTAATCCTAATTATTCTCTAACATGCTCCCTCAAGCTTGACGTTCGTTGGGAAAGTCCATGCTTGCGAATAAGAATTTGAAACTTTGACCGAAACAGTGGCTTAGTAAGAACATCTGCAAGTTGGTCATCCGTGGAGATGTGGCTAACACGAAGAACTCCATTTTGCACTTGTTCTCTAACAAAGTGGTAGGAGACAACAATATGTTTCATCCTTGAATGAAAAACGGGGTTGGAGCTTAGACTTGTAGCACCCATGTTATCACAATAAATGACAGGTTGTTGATCACATGAGCGGACCCCAAGTTCTTTAAGTAAAGATAGCACCCATAGTAGTTCCGAAGCAGATTCTGCAAGTGCTTTATACTCGGCTTCTGTTGACGATCTGGCGACTGAACGTTGTTTCCTAGAGCTCCAAGATATTGGTGTTTTGCCCAAATAAACCAGATAGTCAGTTGTTGACAGATAATCATCTTTATCACCGGCCCAATCAGCATCCGAAAAACAATGCAAAGTGGGAGGAGAATTTTTATAAATAACTACACCAAGGGTAGATGTACCAGCCAGACAGCGTAGCACACGCTTCAAAGCAGCCTAATGTTCAGTTGTCGGAGCGTGTATATACTGGGAGAACTTGTTGACAGCAAATGCCACATCTGGTCTTGTAATTGAGAGGTATTGCAATGATCCTACAAGCATACGATAATCAGTAGGCGAATCAAGCACGACTCCCGAGCTTCTGGTGAGAGTTGTTGTTGCATTCAACGGTGTAGATACACTCTTTGAATCAGCCATATTTGCCTTATGCAAAACATCAGTAATGTACTTTCTTTGGCTCAAAAACAAACCTTCAGGGTGTGGCTGCACTTCAACTCCTAGAAAGTAAGATAAAGGACACATATCTTTCAGCGAGAACCGATGTGCTAGCGAAGTAATGAGCTGTTGAACAAGGTCTGAATGGTCTCCAGTTACTATAATATCATCTACATAGATGAAAAGAAATATCTCATGATGTAAAGTTCGGTGGATGAATAAAGATGCATCAGCAACAGAAGCATGAAATCCAATGCTGAGAAGATAAGATTTCAGTTCTGTGTACCATGCTCTTGGGGCTTGTTTTAAGCCATAAATAGCCTTTTTCAACTTGCAGACATAATCAGGAAATTGCTTATTCACAAAACCAGGTGGCTGAACCATGAAAACATCTTCATATAAAGTACCTTGCAAGAAGGCATTATTAACATCTAATTGTCTCAAGCTCCAACCCCGACTTACTGCAAGTGCAAGTACTGTCCTGACCGTAATTGGTTTGACAACTGGGCTAAAAGTTTCTTCATAATCGTGTCCTAGTCTTTGATCCATCAGCCCTTTGCCACTAGACGTGCTTTGAACTTGTCTAGAGATCCATCAGCATGATATTTTATCTTGTACACCCACTTGCAACCTACTAAGTTTTGATCTGCACGAGGAACCAAAATCCTAGTATTGTTAGAACATAAAGCATTAAACTCCACAGTCATGGCAAACCTCCAGTCAGGGTCTTTTAGGGCTTGAGTGAGGGGTTTTGGTTCGGTTAGGAAACAGATATGAGCACTCAGGCTTACCTTTTTAATGGGTTTATGGATATTGTTTTTGGACCTAGTGGTAACACCAATTGGTGCAGCTGGTTGTATGGGTTCAATGGGGTGTGTAGTAGAGGTAGAGGAATCATAGCCAGCGGTAGTGATATGGGTTTGAGGTATGGATGAGGGATTATATAATGGTGAAATTATAGGGATCAGAAGAGAACACCAATCATTTGTGTCGTGGGCAGTAGGATCTCTAGTGATGGGTTTAATTTTGTAGGGGTATACATGTTCAACAAAGCGGACACGACGAGAAGTATATAAGCGGTTTGTGGTTGGATCAAGGCACATATATGCACTCTGAGTTGGTGAGAATCCAACAAAAACACATTCAGTAGACCGTGGGCAAAGTTTGTGATCTGTGCATGGGCGAAGCCAAGGGTAGCAAAGACAACCAAAGTTTTTGAGCTTTTGATTATCAGGAGGATGCTGAAAAAGGATGGAATATGGAGAGGAGTATGATAGAGTGGGTGTAGGAAGTCTGTTTATGAGATAGGCAGATATTGAAAACGCAAGAGCCCAGAATTGTGTTGGCATACCTGCGTGAGAGAGAAGAGAGAAGCCAGTTTCTACAATGTGTCTATGACGCCTTTCAGAGTACCCATTGTGTTCGGGAGTATGTGGTGGGGTTGTCAGATGAGTGATGCCAGATTGTGCTAGAAAATTTTTAAGAGCAAGGTATTCCCCCCATTATCAGAATAAAGAACCTTTATTCTCCGTTTGAAGTAGTTTTCCACCAAGCTTTTGAACTTAAACAAAATGTCATGTGTTTCTGATTTCTTTTTGATAGGATAGAGCCATATGTATTTGGAGTAGTGGTCAACAAAAATTATATAATAGTGATAGCCAGAAGTGGAAATAATAGGTGAAGATTACACATCAGAATATATAACTTCTAAAACAACAGAAGAATTTATTGAATTTTGATAAAAAGGAAGCTTATGGGTCTTATTTAATAAACACAAATTACAATAAAAAATGCTGGAATTTGGAAATCCTAATTGACGCTACAAGTATCTAAGAATTTTGTGAGAGGGATGACCAAGCTTGTGATGCCATGAAGATGCAGAAGAGAGACTGGATGACTGAACTTGAGGACTAGAGGGAGATGGCCAAATGTAGACACCATCAACGCATGGGCCTTTAAGGATCCGGGTTCCCAAAGTGAGATCCTTCACAAAGAAACAATCAGGTAAGAATTCAATAGAGTAATTATTTTCAGTAGTAAACTTAGACACTGATATGACATTCTTAGCCATTTGTAGAACACACAAGACATCAGAGAGATAATGTTTTAGAGTTGGCAGAAATTGAGAAAGAACTGGAGTGTGTTATAGAGATGCCTTTACCATCACCAACTACAATCTCATCCGGACCAGTATAGGGCTGATGGAGAGCAAGATTATTGAGATCATTGGTAACATGGTGAGAAGCTCCACTGTCTACAAGAAATGGTTCTGTTGGATGACAAATTGTGCTAATGTGGGCCTGGGGATGATTTATGGTTGGAAATCGGTTAGAGGACGGGGGACGGGCATGAGGATTTTGTTGTTTGAAAGGGGGGCACTGGCTCACAACATGGCCAGGTGTGCGACACCACTGGCATTTTCCTAAAAAAGGACGAGGTGAGTTCTGTGGAGGGCGGTTGTGGGCAGATTGGTTCAGATAGTTTTGGGGATATGTGTAAGTTGGTGGAGGGTGAGGTTGGGCTTGGTGTGAAGGAGATTGGATGTTTTGCCAATATTGCGGAGCCTGATGCTGTTTGTTCCTGAATTTGTTGGATCGGGGTTCAGCATTGAAAGGTGTCACTAGAGCAGTGATGGATGTGATAATAGATTTGAGTTCAAGCTCTTTAACTATGAGCTTCTCGGGCAGAGTAGTGAACTGAATCGTTGAATCACGAGCTTTGATCGCATCAACTACCGATTGATAAGATAGGTCCAACCCCTTGAGCACATAGTTCACCAGATCATCGTCATCTACCGGCTTACCAAGCGAGGCAAGTAAATCTGCCGTTGTAGAAACTCCTTGCATATAGTCAGAGATGGATTGATTGCCCTTCGTAAGAGATCGCAGTTTGTCTTTCAATTGATTGAAATGACCTTTGGATGGGTTCGCATAAGTCATGGCAAAAATTTCCCAAGCCTTTTGTGTAGTATTGGCCCGAGTCACCAACTGAGCCACCGAGCGGACAAGGTGCCAACGAGAGCTCCATAAAGAAGTTGATCTTGCCGCAACCAGGATGTGTAAGCCGGGTTTGGGCCAGGAACATTTGCTTCCGGGCCGGGCCCATTATCATTTTTTTTTGTTTTCCTCTTCCTAATTAACCCCCCTCCCACCCCAACCCCCCAAACCACCCAAAATACCCAGCCCAACCCGAAAATTTAAAACAAATTGAAAAAAAAAAGTTTTTGGCCTGAACCGGGCCCGGGCCCGGCCGGGTCGGGCCTTGTTTTGGGTGACCCGAGCCCGGACCGGAAAACCCACGGGCCGGGCCTACCCGGACCGGTCACTAACTGGGCCACCGAGTCGGGCCGGGCCGGAACAGTACCGGTCCCGGGCCGGTTCCGGGTCGGGCCACCCGGCCCGAGTCCATCCCAATCTGATACCATACAAGGAGTAAAATGTTTCTTGATGTTTATTAATAAGTGGTGCTCCTTATATAAGCACTCAAATACAAATGATAACTATTAGAATTTGAAATGCAGATATCTAATCCTACATATTCTCTAACTAACAGATAGCTTAACAAACTGATAAGATTACTTCAAAATTCAAATAAGCTGAATTTGATGTAATCCTAATTATTCTCTAACAATCATGAGAAGAATACTATATAGAGAATTAACATGCCAAGTGTTCCATTATTCAGGTGTCTCTCTATGGTAGTGACGGTGGATCGCTGAAATCACTCCGGTGAGTGTTGAGATGTGAGATCCAGACAAAACATCAGGCACTATTTTCCAGAACTTTCCGGCAGTCAGACCGTGAAATTCAATGGAATTAGGGCTCAGGTTCAAGTAATAAGTGAGAGCAGCATGCACGTGATCATCGGTGATATCTCCGACGGTAGTGGAAGCGGAGACGACCAAATGCCGATAAGTCCGAAGAAGATAGTGTCCTGCATTCATGTGCGTGGAATCGTTGAGGGCGTCGGCCGAGCAAACCCACTTGACAGAGTCAAAGATGCTTGAACCCTCACCTGTCATTATACATTTTACACTTCCGGTGGCAGAGGAGTTGGGAGAGCAATCAGCTAGCGAGGCGGAGCCCCTCCAAAATTGGCAGTACTTTCCCATCATGGCGGCTATGTGGGAGAACCAAACACCTGAGGTATCTAACTTTAATGCAGCTGTCCAAGTATCTTCAACCTATTATATATGGTATTATTTTATAAATGTAAGATAAAGAAACATCATCATTTCATCATTTTCATTTACCCCAGTGCCGCAAAGGCTCCCACCTACGGTGGGGTAAGGGGGGGTCGGATGTACGCAGTCTTACCCCTATACTAAAGCAAAGAGAGACTGTTTCCGGATGACCCATAGTGAAAATCGCGTCCAAAATTGCATGGACTGACTGCTGCTTCATTACAAAGAAGCGCAGACAGTTTACTGAGCCATTTTGCTTTATTCCATCATAATCTCAAGCCAAAAAATAATGAATCTTTGGCTCCATTGCAAATCAAATAAAAGTATATTATAGTAGCATGTATTTAGTACAAAGTATTTGTAAAAAGACAAATGGGGAACGAAATTCAAAAGATTGAAATTTTCTGGCCTGGTCTGAATTGGTCTTTCTGTATTTTATAATTTTCTAAGTCTAGTCTGATCTGATCTGGTCTAGGACAGAAAACAGTTCCACATCGAGAACAGTAGTCATCACCACAAATATCTCACTGATCTAAGCCCTTTTACGACACCATCAACATTCGGTTTCTCCTCAACCGGTTAGTGTTCTTATTGCTTGATTCTATGAATTTTATCATGTTTGTGAGATTAGATTCTTATTTAGGACTGAATTTCTCAACATTTGGTGTCGGAGCCAGTTAATTCTCACTTAGGTGATAAATTTTTGAAGTTAATTTTGATTTTGTCGTAAGCAATTCATTGGTTATCGCCGTTCTTTTTTTTTCCACTGGGTTCTAAACTGTTTGTAATCCTTGACATTTTTGTTACTGCCGCTTGTAAATAACACGAGTCGTCAACCATGATGCGTTGAATAATTGCCTAAACCCAACTAATCGTATGACTGAATAATTCTCTGATTCTCAACCATGGTTTTTAGTTTATTTTATTAATTGTGTTGTTGCCTTTGTGGTTACTAATAACTGGTGTTTGATATAAATAAACGTCGACACCAGTATATCACCAAACATAATATATGAACATATCATTGATGTTTGGCTTTTGTTTTGTAGTTCTCCTTTTATTTGATTTCGTCTGTTTGCATTAAGAACTGATTGGAAACTAATTTTTTGTTTATATGCAACTGCAAATTTGTTGAAAACTACAATTCACTTTTGTTTTGACTCTGTTTGTTTTGGTGGTCAAAAATAAAAACTAAGATTATAATTTTTAATAGACCAATGATGCATCAATTTTCCTTTTGCACCTGCATATTTCCTTGCACGTATGAATGAACTCTAGTGCAGATTACCTAACATTAATAGTAGTACATATTACTTTGTTAGCTTAATTAAGATAAACATTGCATACCATTAAGTTTTAATAAAAGGATATGCATCTATCAGTTTGATTTTGGACCATTAGTTTTGCAGAAGGCATGAAATAATGCTAATCGCATATTAAAACCATTACAAAGGCAGTTATACGCCTAACAATTTTATTTTGAATTAATTAAGAAGTGTTTAGTTGTAAGACTAATACTGCACGAATATGATCTTAGTGTCAAATTCAATGATTTGCCCAATGGAAGATCATTTATTTTGACTATCTTAAACAATTATATGAGTTTTCTTTTAACAAACCCAAAGTTATCATTTATTTGATAACTTGTATAATGAAATTTTAGCAATCAAATGTGTTATATTTCTGCCCAAAGGCCAAAGGTGATATGTGACACAATTTGCAGTCTACTTTTAATTTTAATATCATAATGTTTGATAATTAGCATTAGCCAACGCAATGTTAGTTATTAAACACGATATGAATTTTTCCTATTATTTGGTGTTAATAATTGGCTTATTTACTACTCCCTTCGTCCAATAAAATTCTTCTCACTTTTCTTTTTGGGCCGTTTCAAAAAATTCTTCCCACTTACCATTTTTGGACAATTTGTGTGGTTCACATTTATTTCACTTTTTTCTTACACTTTCTTACAATTTGGACAACCATACATTTCCACTTTCTTAATCTCCGTGCCAAGTCAAAGTGTGAAGAATTTTATGGGATGGAGGTAGTAATAATTGACCCGCCTTATTGTATTCCCTTATTTATTATAAATAGCTTCTATGATTACCTCTCTTAAAACTTTTATCTCACCATCTATGATGACCCCATACAATTATGGGATAGAACCTCTAAGTGGTACAAACTTTTCAACATGGAGAGAATCTGTAAAACTCTCACTTGGCATGATGGACCTCAACCAAGCACTGAAAATGGATCCACCAGATGCTCCTAATGTTGAGAGCACTGTGGAGCAGAAGCGTTCTTATGAACAATGGGAGAGGTCCAACCGAATGTGCCTCATGGTGATCAAGAATTCCATATCTGTAGATATTCGCAGAGCCATTCCAGACTCAGAAAATGCGAAAACCTACCTTGAATATGTGGAAGAACAGTTTTAAGGGCACTTCTAAAGCACATGCTAGTACCTTGATTCTCAAAATGTTGACGAGTAAGTATGATGGATTGAGTGGTATTCATGAGCACATCATGAAAATGTCTGATATGTCCAACAAACTCAAAAGTATGGACATGGAGATCAGCGAAGGTTTCCTCATTCATTTCATAATGACTTCTCTACCCACGTCTTATGGTCCGTCAAGATCAATTACAACACGCAGAAAGAGAAGTGGACAATGAGCGAGTTGATTGCTATGTGCGTTCAAGAAGAAGAGCGCCTTAAAGTTGAATGACCAGATGTTGCTCTTCTTACCACCACAAACTCAAAGAAAAGGAAAGGCAATCGTCAAGGAGGAGGAAGAGGTAACATTTCTAAGGTCCCCAAAATAGGTGCAAACGTGAGCTCCGGTCCCTACTGCAAGTTTTGTCGCTTCAAAGGACATTATCAGAGGGAGTGTCCTAAGTTTAAGGCATGACTAATTAAGAAAGGTAACTTAACCACTTATGTAATTTATTAGTCATTGAACACATCAGTTCCCCTTAACACTGCGTGGATTGACTCTGGTTCAATGGTTCATGTTTCAAACACACTGCAAGGATTCCATTCAATCCGGACATTGGGAAGAAAACAAAGAGTGATTAAGGTGGGAAACGGAGAAGAATTAGAAGTGGAGGCCATTGGAACTATCTCTTTAATTTTAGAGAGTGGCTTTGTTCTTCATCTTTGTGATGCTCTTTATGTACCTAATATTACTCGTAATTTAGTGTTTATATCGAAACTAAGTGTTGATGGTTTTGCATTTAATTTCGTATACAATAAAGTGACAATAAGCTTGAACTCAAATGTAATAGGATTTGGTAGCATGGAGGGAAACCTCTATAAATTATGTTTAGATACTAATTTTACGGAATCCCCATTGTCATTCAATATAACTGAAAATCCTTGCAAGAGAAAGAGAGAATTGGAAGCATCATCCAATTTATGGCATCAAAGATTCAAAGGTTGGGCCACATATCACGAGATCGAATGATAAGACTCGTGAAAGACGGTATTCTTCCAAATCTTGACTTCTCGGATTATGACAAGTGTGTGAAGTGTTTGAAAGGGAAATTGTCTAAGAAAACTAAGAAAGGCACCACACGAAGCACTGGTTTGTTAGAATTAATACACAACGATATTTGTGGGCCTTTTACCGATTCCATTAGTGGTCATAACTCCTTTATTACTTTCATAGATGATTACTCACGCTATATGTACCTATATTTGATTAAGGAAAAATCTGAATTACTAGATATGTTCAACGCTTATAAAGCTGAAGTTGAAAATCAATTTGATCAAAAAATCAAAGTAGTGAGATCAGATAGGGGTGGAGAGTTCTATGGTCGTCGACACACTGATATTGGTCAAGTTCCTTAATCTTTCCATGAATTTTGTAAAGATCACGGGATCATCAACCAATATACCATGCCCGACACCCCTCAACAAAATGGGGTTGCTGAAAGGCGGAACATGACTCTTATGGATATGGTCCGAAGTATGCTGGCTAACACTAATCTTTCCCAATTCTTATGGACCGAGGCCTTAAAAACAGCAACCTACACACAGAATACAGTACCATCTAAATCAGTCCCTAAGACTCCATATGAGTTATGGACGGGCAGGAAACCTAGTCTACGGTACCTAAAAGTGCGGGGTTGTCTAGCTAAAGCAAAAGTGTATAATCCTCATTTGAAGAAACTTGACATGAGAACCATTCGTTGTTCCTTTATTGGCTATCCCGAGAGATCTACGGGATATAGGTTTTGTTGCCCATCTCATACTACCCGAACTATCGAGACTCGACATGCTGAATTCCTTGAGAATACTAACATTAGTGGGATTAGTAATGGTTCAAACATTTGTGATGAACTTCAAGAAGGTACTGGAATGAATCCACTTATTATATTGCCCATTCCACCTAACTCCTCACTTGAAGATCATAGTGAAAGTCATACACCTCATAATAATGATGCAACAAGTCAAGAGGCGAATGAAACTCCAATCAGTGTTGAACCAACTCCACCTGTTGCTAATGAAATTCCAGAAAATCAGCAACCCTTAAGGAGATCTCAAAGGGTCAGACGCCCCACAAATTTTGACTCCACCTGCCTAGACGAATATTTGATATATTTTAATGAAGAAGCCGACTATGATTTAGGGAAAGTCATAGATCCTATATCTTTCCTTGATGTCATTCATTGTGACCTATCGACTCATTGGAAAGAAGCCATGAATGAAGAACTTCTTTCCATGGAGAAGAACAATGTTTGGGAACTTGCTGAAATACCAAAGGGTCAAAAGCCCGTTGGAAGCAAGTGGGTCTTTAAGACTAAATTAGATCCAAAGGGAAACATTGAAAGATATAAGGCAAGATTGGTCGCCAAGGGCTACACCCAAAGGGAAGGTGTAGGTTATCAATAGACCTTTTCACCCGTCTCTCTAAAGGACTCCCTAAGGGTCAATAATTATGGCTTTAGTAGCTCACTTTGACCTTGAGCTACATCAAATGGATGTCAAAACAACCTTCTTAAATGGAGATTTACACGAAAATGTTTGTATGATACACCCAGAAGTTTATGTTTCTAATGGTCAAGAACATCTAGTGTGTAAACTCAAGAAGTCTATTTATGGGTTCAAGCAAGCATCTCAACAATGGTACATCAAATTTGATGAAGTCATGAAATCAAATGGCTTCATTAAAAACAAAGTAGATCAATGCACTTACCTCAAAATGAGTGGGAGAAAATTCATCATACTTGTGTTATATGTTGATGACATCTTATTAGCAAGTTGTGACTTGGATTTATTGCATGAAACAAAACGCTTATTATTTGGCCATTTTGACATTAAAGATCTAGGTGAAGCTTCTTATGTTATAGGCATTGAAATTCATCGAGACAGAGTCAAAGGGACGTTAGGCTTGTCCCAAAAGGCATACATTGAGCGCGTTTTAGAACGTTTCAACACGCAACAATGCTCTCCATCAGTTGCTCCAGTAGTTAAGGGAGACGTTTTTGGGTCATTCCAATGCCCAAAAACTGAGGTTGAGAAAAGCAAATGAAACTCATTCCTTATGCTTCTGTAGTTGGAAGCCTGATGTATGCTCAAGTTTGTACTCGTCCAGATATTGCATATGTATCCAGTATGTTGAGAAGATATCAATCTAACCCAGGATTAGATCATCGAAAAGCCGCTAAGAAAGTTTTGCAATATCTTCAAGGGACTAAGGAGTACAAACTTACATATCAGAGGTCGAATAATTTAGAAGTGGTGGGATATTCCGATTCTGACTTTGCTAAGTGCAAAGATGATAGGAAGTCCACTTCGGGATACATTTTCTTGCTGTCAGGTGGGCCAATATCTTAGAAAAGCCACAACCAAAGACTTACGACTACTTCAACAATGATGGCCGAATATGTTGCGGTGTACAACGCAACATGTCATGGGATGTTGTTAAGGAATCTTATCAAAGGATTCAAAGTAGTCAAATTCGTCTCAAGACCACTAAGGATTTATTGTGACAATTCTGCAGTCGTGAGCTTCTCAAACAATAACAGTTCAAGTGGACCGGGATTGTTCCTCGATACAAAATATTTGTTCGTTCGAGAAAGAGTGGAGGAAAACGAAATTTGTATCGTACACATCAACACAAATGATATGCTAACAGATCCTCTCACTAAAGAACTTTCACCTAGTATTTTTCAAAGACATGTCACTAATATGGGCTTGATCAAAGATCCTATTTAGGAAATTATAGCGCAGTGCCTGATTAATTATCTTATGTATTAATTTCAAGTACTTGATTTAAAATCCCTCATGAAGTATGTTTTGTCTATTCTTTATTGTGCACACAATGTTATTTAATAGACAAACATAATACCCTAAATTTAATGTCATTTGGCTTATATTAATCCTTATACTCTTTAAGAAGTGTCAAAATATGATTAATGGGGGTCCCGGGTTATATCGACCCGTTAGACTGTATTTGTTTGCTTTGATATTATTATGGAGTAAGATGAATTTTTCTTGGCCAACAAATACTTTAAATTATTCATAATTGTATAAATGATCTTAAGGTCAAGAGGGAGAATGTTGGAAAATATTCCATTCAAGTTCCCTTGGACCATTTATATAATTTAATATATATTGGAGACATTTGTGTCTTACCATTAAGTTTGCAATATGACATAGTTGGTCCCTATATTTATGTGTAGTTAATGAAGGCCCCAAATATCCGAAAATATTCTAAGTGTTCGGCTAACTTACAACTCAAAGGAATGGAGGAGAATGTACTATATTCCACTGGATAAAACATTACAATCGGTGGCCTTATATAGGCATTACAAGTGGAATAAAATAATCCTTAGGAAAGACAATTTACCTTTCCAAGAAGACCTTTCATCTTCCCAATAAAAGTAATGAAAGATAATTTATGTTCCCTAGGAAGTAAACTAAATTAAGATTAATTAATTAATCCCAACAGTTAACATATGATGAGTATGTTTTAACATTAAATAATACATAAGGGATCAAAGGGGTTTCTCTTTGACACAAACCTTAGTGGCGGAACCAACTCGGAGGTCTTAGAGGGGCACATAATAAGAATGGGAAGGTCTCAGGCAAGGCGGGCGGCTTACTGCAATATCAATAGTTTATATTAAGAACTTCAATAGTATATTCTTAAATACATCCAAGACCTATATTAAGAGTAATTTCTATTAAGAATTTCTGTAATAGTAAATAGTTTCATTTAAGAATTAATGTACGTACCTAAATACAACAATCTCAATAGTTTACAATTTCAGTAGATTTTTTTGGCCGAAAAATTTCAATAGTAGGGATGTTTTTACTTGGACTGTAATTCGTGTCAGACCAGACTAGACCAGTTCAGACCAGACTTGGATAGTTATAAAAATACAAAGAAACCAGACCAGACCAGAGCAGTTCAGACCAAATCAGCAAATTACGGTCCAAGTAAAAACATCATATATCGTTTCAAAGATTACTAACCTCGTCTTTATTGAGGTCCAAATCGGGAGGGATACCATTGTCTTGAAGTTGACGGGCAGCGTTTATCCACAACTTCAATCTGCCGGCGAGGGCGAACTGAGCTCCAGGGGAAAGCATATTACGGGCTTCAGGGTCGGCAAGGTCACAAGGCCGACCGTAGAGAGTCGCGCAGCGAGCAGGGCCATCGGCGTCGTTAATAAATGACGATGTCGACGACGTTTGCTTGGTGTCGCCTGTGGCGGCGGCGACAGCGCAATCAGAGCGTAAGCGGGAGATGAAGAGAGAGATGTTGGGGAGGTGGGTGTGGTGCGGAGCATCGAAACAGTATCTGTTTTTCCTCGACCATCCTGGTCTCTTGGGAAGTGCAGGGGTCACGTTTCCGAAATGTCCGCTGGACGGCCTAAAGGACGCCAGGTTCTTGAAGAGTTGGACAAGCGGACCTGTATAGTTAAGAATGAATTCACTTTTTTTTGTTTTATTTCAAAAATGTAATAAAAATTGTTACTCTCTCCGTCCCTAATAATTTTGCCAAGTTTGACCGCCACCGGGAATAATAAAGTAAAAGCTATGTGGTCGAGGTTTGTGCAGAGGAGATAGAATGAAATGGAACCGCAAATGGAAACTAATAATGCAACTTTTTAGCGGTCTTCTTACAATAATCCCACCTTTTGATTATTCAAGAATAATCCACCTTTGAACCTCATCTTCATTCAATGGTCCCTGATCGATTTTTTTCTTATCTTTGCAATATATTACACCATAAATCTCACCTTATGGTCACATAATGTTTTGCAAAGATAAAAAAATAATTTGAAATAGCAGATCATCAACCGGTCAGGGACCATTGAATGGAGATGAGGTGCAAATGTTGGATTATTCCTGAATAATCAAATGGTGGGACTATTGTTAGAATACCGCTAAAAGGTTGGATTATTAGTTTCCATTTTCCTTTCTCTAAATGGGAATAAAAGTTTATCAAATTGCAAGAATAGGAGTGTCATGTTCCGTAGGAGTAAAAAGAAAGGGGTTGACAAAATTATCCTTATGAGCAAATTAAGTTATTTTATTAATAATACAAAATCAAATAATAAAGGCAAATATGAGAAGCTCATCAACGTAACGGTCCCTTGGCACATAACATCCGCCGCCGCCTCAACTGCAACCGCCGCCGCTGCAACCTCCGGCGTCGCTGCCGCTACTGTCGCCTCCACCATCACATGTGCCACAGGAAGCTCAATCAGTGACCCCACCTGGTCTTGCCGTCAGCCGCCGCCATATCCGACGTCTTCATCGCCGCATCATCCAACACCACCATCTCTCACCTCCGTGAACAGTGCGACCTCTGGCTCCGCCGCCTACACCACCAGCGTAGATCTCAAATCTGATTTTGAATCCGGTATGACTACCGGTCAATTATTGTCATCTTAATGATATTATTGTCATCTTATAGTTGTGATGTCATCTTAATGGTATTATTGTCATCCTGACAGAAATAAGAAACATGGCATTAATGTATTGTCAAATGAGAAGTATTGTCATCTTTGTTACATTAATGTCATGCCAACGAAAAACATGGCACTAAAGTTGTTGTATTCTTGGAGTAATATTGCAATCTTCAAATGATACTAGAAAAATTCTGGAAAAAATTATTGAGTTATTTCATTTTTTTAATTGACATTTTCAGTTTGAAAAATCTCTAAAATAAATTATAAAAATATCGAAATTAATAAAAAAAACTAAAAATTCTACAAGTAATAAAAAATAGAGATGGTGGAGGAAGAAGAAGAAGAGCAAGGAGGAGGAAGAGGAAGAATGAAGAAGAGGAAGAGAAGAAAATTAAAACTCACCGATATTGCCGCCGCTCGCCAGAGTACGCGATTTTCATGGAGATTATGTGTCAAGATTGTGGAGTAGTGCCGAATTGATTTTCAGTCGGCTATATATGTGCACTTGGCAGAAAAAGTCACCATTCAAAGCTTTGTAATTAGACAGTGTAGATGGAAAAGTGGGAGAAGAAATCAGATCTCAAATTGCAGGAAAGTAGAAAGGGGAACGGAGATGAAAAGAGAGACAAGATAGAGATTTGCGTGAGAAGCAGAGTATAATTAACAAAGAGGGGTATAATTGACAAATGCAACGGACCGATCAATAAATAGCTCCTTTTTAGGGAATAAATGAATAAGCACTCCTATTTTGGAATTTTGTTATTGTTTTAGTACTACTTAATACAATTACTTAAAGAGAAAGTGGCAAACTTAGTGGGACATCCAAAATGGAAAGTTGGCAAAGTTATAAGGGACAATGAGTTCAATTTTGAAAAAAGAAATACAATGCGCCGGCTGGTATTTTTACTTGGCTTGGATCAGACCTCAATAGTCGTAAATTATACGAAAACCAGACATTTAATAGACTAGATAAGATTAGAGCAAGTAAAAACACGACTATTTTAATTTTAAAAAATTGCTCCAAATAAAATGAAAATATACAAAAATGTACAAACATGAGTATTTATATTTGGAAAAATTGTCTGTCAAATTGACCGTTGTAGTACATTAAAAAAATCAATTAAACCTCTAAACTAAAAGAACACTAAATTCAGACCTCAATCTTTACAAAAACCGGTCGATATATACTACGTACTCCCTCCATAACAAAAACAATTTCTCACTTTTACTTTTCATCCGTAACAAAGAGATCTTTTCATTTCTAAATCTACCATTCATACCCTCAATAATTCTGAATATAATACACTATCACAACTACTTTTTTTGGATTTATCCTTCATTTCATCACATTATTCCACCATCTTCCCATCATACCCTCAATGAATTATATCCTCTTTTACTATTCTAAACCTACCTACTTTTGAAATGAGAAGAATTTCAAGTTACGAAGGGAGTATAATATACTCCGTAGTAGGGTTCTTTCAGGTTAACTAGTTTATATAAAAGTGGAAATGGGGAATATATAAACTCACATTTACGAATTTAAGAGCCCGTTTGACAACACGAAAATCGGCAAATTGGGTTGATTCTGCTATAACTTATAAAGTTTTGACTGAAGTGGCTGCATTGAGTGATTCTGCCGATTTAAGAAAAAATAAGAAATTGTCCTAAATAGGTCTAAAACACGGTTAAAATGCCAAAGTAGGACTTATCATGTTTTATTCTCTTTTTAGGACTCATCTGCTCCTCTTTCGTGTTTTTTATGTTTACGCAATGTCCATAGTACCCCTATCTTACTCATCGCCTTTCTCCTGTTCGTAACTCTCTTCTTCCTCTTCGCTTAAACATCTTCTTCTGCGGTTCATCTCCTAATTTTTTCCTTGGCTCCAATTTGTTTCAAGGTTTCTGTTCTCCCCTACTAATCTCCCTACATCCATCTGCCTTAAATTTTTCTGAACAAACAATCCATCAATTTCAGAAATTAAATCCATGTATCCCTTTGCTTAGTCTTCCTCCAAATGCTTTTTCTTTTTCGCATTCTCCTTCTCCTTCTTCTTGCTTTGTTTTTTAAAAAATGTCTCGCATAACTACTAGTTCTTAGACAAGATGTCATTTTTGGATTTGAATTATATTTATTCAACAAAATGTCACTTTTATACTCTGAGAATGTCAAAATTATTGGTTAGGGGAAAAAATTATTAACCCCCCTGAGGTTATGCCATAATTATTAATGCAACCTTGCATTTTCATAAATCAATTAGTTACCCCCAAAGTTTTTTTCATTTTCACTGTTTTCCCCTCACGTTAATATTTATTAAATTAAATTTAATATAACTCTTAAATTCAATAAAAATTATCTATAAAATTAAATTTTAAAGTGAATAACAATTTATTATCATATTTATAAGTTATTATTGTTTACCGTTATTTTTCTACTTACCTACTCAATCGTGGAATAATGAAAGTAGTTTAGGGAGAAGACTTACAAGTAAGATATAAATATCATGAATTTATATTTTTATTTTAAAAAATTAAATATCATTTAAGCTTATTAAACTAATAAACTTTTTGTTAAAAATAAATCATCAATATTAGTAATAGAATTAATAAAAAATTAAATAAATCAAAATCTATGGTATATATTATTTAGTTCGTAGATTGATATGTTTTAATTATTCAGACTGTATTTCAATATATATTTGTCTTTTAGGTCTCTTATTAATACTAGATCAATATTTTAGGTCACAGATTGACAAAAGTCATTTTTTCTTGGTTCTTTGCTACACACGAAAGAAATGTAATTGAGATTAATTCAGCGAGAAATTACAAATAAGATTTTTATATTAATGATGAAGAGGTGTTTAGAATTTTGATAACACATATTTCAAACAACTTTCTTTTTATATCCCATGAATATTATTCAGCTCGAGACTCTTCTACCTTAATTACTTTGATTAATATTTATTCCACGATCAAGGAGCTAAGTATAAAAATAACGATAAAAACAATGACTCATAATTATGATAACAAATTGTGTTTTTACTTTAAAAATTAATTTCACAAACCATTTTTAGTAAATTTAAGAGTTATATTAAATTTAATTTAACAAATATTAACACAGGGGGCATATAGTGAGAATGATCAAACCTCAGGGGGTAACTAATTGATTTTTGAAAATGCAAGGTTACATTAATAATTATGACATAACCACAGGGGTTAATCTTAATTTTCCCTATTGGTTATTTGAAAAAAATGTCACGTTTGTGGCAGTATATTTATCAGGATGACTATATGAAAACGTCATATGTGCATAAGAAAATGTCATTTGTATGATATTTTATGACATTTTTATGATTTATCTAAGAATGAAATAATTAGAAATGACATGTTTTTTGACATGTTTTCCAAATGATGTCAAAATTTTACCCTTAAATTGCCATTATTATTCATCTAAAAAATTCATATTTTTTACAACTGAGAATGTCATGTTTTTATACGAAACTTCCATATCATGTTATTATTCTTGATATTCTCGTTGGAGATTCAGGTTCAAATCATTAGAATTAGTAAAATGAAAATTCAAAAGAAAAGAAATCAGATGGAAGGTGGATGAAGAAAGCAGAGGAACATGAGAAGAAGAAGAAAACGAAGAAGAAGAATGAGGAGGAGGAAGAAGAGGGTGAGGAGGAAACTTACCTGGGAAAAGTAGCCACCACACATATTCACTTCATCTATTGAGCACCCTTCAATTCTGTCGTCTACGCTTATAGCCGATTCGCACTCATAGCAGATTCGCAGGTTGCCGACTTAAGAAATAGGAATGATGGACAATTTCGACATTTCATTCTAAATTCGGTCTTAATGTATTCCAGGGAAAAGTAGTAGTCGTATAGTTGCAATTTGCATATCTTTTAATCCTGTTATGGGAATTTTCTCAAGAAAAAATTATTTTTAAAATATATTTTATTAATAAAATAAAGAAAAAATTATAGGTAAAAATAACTAAAATGATATCTGCAGTAACTTCAGTCAATATAACTAGAAAAGTAACTTCAATCTTACTTTTTTTTATTATCACATAATTTAACGCGCAAAAACAAATACTACATGTTTCATGAAAAAATTGGCTTATAAACGTGATAAGTCCACAAAAAAAGTTTTATCAAACAGCCTCTAAGAAAGATATATTTGATGTACAGTTAAATTAAGAAGAAGTGAAAGAACCTGGAATCCAAAGGTTTTGAGGAGGGTAGCAGTCAAGGATATTGTCCAAGTACTGTGTGGAAAGGCAGAAAAGGCCGGCAGAACGCATAGCCCTCATGGTCTGGATGTAGAAGAGCATGGAAAGGTAAATCTGGGTGTAGGGGGGGACCCACCCCATGCAGCAATCCGTCCAGCGTTTGGTGGAAGCCATCCTATTGTCCATTGATTGGGCCAGGTACATCATCACAGCTGCACAGGGGCAGAAGGTGGATACGCCTGGGTACTCCACTTTCCCCAGCCTCACCCCCGACGCCGGCTCAAATATCGCAGCCTCGTCAAAATTTGGGTCGTCACGGCGGCGGGTGGCCGGGGTCAGCCGGGGCCTTGCTTCGAAGCGGCCTAGGCGGTGGCTGTTTGCCTCCTCATCACACATTAGTGGATCCACTTCTCAAACTGACAAAAAAAAAGCAGTCAATTTTCCAAACGAACAGACCAGTCTTTTGGATACTCCAAATTAATAGGGCAAATGGAGATCAGAGCGAGCAGCTGATATCCCTATGCCCGAATTTGGACAGTCCAAAATCATACAGTATTACGGAAATGGGTTTTCATAACCCCATGAGGGTAGCTCGGCTCGTTGGACGGTTAGATACGTGTTGGCGGCCAAAAAGTGAACTTAAAGAGTCTATATTCAAATCTTTATCTTTATATAATATAAAGTAACACGGTTGCAACACTTTTTGGATGCAAAATTCTCACCTCTAGAATTGGCAATGAATATTGCATTAAAACTGAATTGACTATATATTGTTACTATTAGTGTTTTGTCTATGTTGTTTTTCGGGAAAAATACTCTAATATTATTAAAATTCATTATTTTTCCAAGAACATGACCATATATGATTTTAGTCTTATGTATGACCAAATTGAACACACATGGCCGACTATAATTATGAAAATAAATAACCGATTATGACCTTATGCATGTACTAACCAATTCCTTATTTTTAGGAACTATAATTAATGCAACCTAACACATGGTTTAATTTCTCCTCGTCCGTTAGTTAGGGAAATGCTACAAACTAAAATTATTGTTTGAGAAGAATGAGTTGATAATATAGGTCCAATAATGGTAGTAATTAGAGGTCAGTAAAGAAATGAGCAATAAATTAACGCATTGAACAGAAGGAAAGCACATAAATCACAGTGCAGTACAAATGTATGATGCAAATAATCATGTAGGCAATAACTAAAAGACAATAAATTGATTATTGTATATCACTAAATCCTTGCATTCTATGATTCATAAATGAAATAGACAGTAAATACAAATGGAAGTAATTGTGTAAGAGGGCATTAAATGTGTAGGAGAGCAGTAAAATTTGTAGTATGTAATCTACTTATAATAATATAATTTATTAATTTATATAATATAATAATTTATTAATTTATATAATACTCCGTATCATCATATATTAATTTATATAATATAATAATCTAATTAATAATAATAGAAGTAGTACATTGACAGTTACCATAAAGAAGCAATTCCTTATTTTTAGGAGGCTAATTAATACATTTACATACATGAGGTGGAAAGATAATGAAATCCTTGATTTTTGGATGAAATAACTACTTATTCTTATTGTGTGGAGGACATTAGTGGAATAAAAAGAAGAAACGTGCTTGATCTTGTACATCATGGAGTATGTATCACATTAGAGAGAAAAAAGTGGAGAAGTCATATATTGGGAACATGGTTTTCTTTTAACCATAAAAGAGCTAATTTTCTTGTTTTTATACTATTATCATTACTATTAGTAATAGTAACAATATATAGTCAATTTGTGTGTACATGATAAATGTAACAAAAATTACGATGTCATAAAAATTGACTATATATTGTTACTATCAGTGTTTTCCAATACAATCAATCAAGCCATTTTGATCTCTTATAGCAGATTATTTTTTAACAATAAATTAGGACTTTTGATAAAGCTTATAAAAATTCATATAAATTTTAAAAATAATGTCAAAATATTATTAAAAAATTTAAAATGAAAAAACAAATAAATAATTTAATAAAAGTAAGATAAAAAAGTAAAACATCATATAATTGAAAAATAAAATGAAATGTGGAAAAAATATAATACAAAATGTAAAACCTTGTTAAACAGATCTAGAATATACAAATAACGTAACTTCAAAAATGCAAACATATTGACTTAACCATCATATATTTTCAAAATTGTTATCTAAATTTCTTCAAATTTAATTTTTTTTTTGAAGTTTTTTAATATAAAACCCCTGTTATTAAATGTCAAAAAACTGATTAAATGACTAGATTGATCATTCTTTTAAAGTAAACGTAACTATATAATGTTTTTTAGTATAAGGACTCAAGTGATGAATTAGAAATTGTAGATGAGCTTATTTGACCTTTCTCCCTTTGTTATTTAACCAAAATACTCATTACATACTTATTATCGTAATAAAGATAATTTTAAACAAGATATTATGCTAATCTAGATGTATCCCGTGCATCGCACGGGTACTTCGTCTAGTATATAATATAACAGGGTAAATGGTGATAATTGTTGATGTTATAGATGTATTATATTTAATATTTGATTATTCAATACTCATTTAACAATGTTAATTGTTTCCTAAAATAGATATAAAAACCTTTATATGGAACGTACAATAAAGGCAAGTGAGAATATCTGTATGGAATGGAGGAGGTATATTTTTTAAAAGACAACATACTTTGAACTTTGAAATAAATTTATCAAATGAAATATCAATTTTGAATTTTCAAAAAACACAGTTATTTTTGTTAAAAATTCGAAATGAGCTGAGGGGAACAAAAAATGCACTTTTGAATGCAATTTATAAAATAATTATGTGCATTAATAAGAAATTACACAATCTCTGCATCAAGTAGGCATATATCTCCCAAAACCTATGTTTACGCATGGTCAATTGTATGTTGTCATGTCAAGGATTACCTCAATGAGTGGGTTGAAGATTCTCATATTAGATGACGAAGGCCGTGCTATCCACACCATAAAAAATGTAGTCTGTAAATAAGTTTTCTGAAATTTGTGAAACCTTTTTTACACACATTGTCAACATATATGATTATTTTATTTTATATAATCTCACCATTCAAACAAAAAATGGTAGTATCAACTTATTTTTTGTCACACATAGCTAATTATTTTTTCACGTAGAGCTTGGTTACACAATATTGTTTATTTTATTTTATTATTGTAATTTTCATACGATTCAGATTTTCCCGCAACTATTACAACGTATATAATCAAACTCACATTATATAAACGTTAAACTATATTCTTATTTAGAAAATTATACATTATATACCATCTTAAAACATTAATTTATTAAATTGCGTATTATTCAATTTTAGATATACCCCGTGCATCGCACGGGTACTTCGTCTAGTAATATTAATATCTATCGGTTAAAACTAATACGTAACTCTAAAAAATTGAATCGCAAATTTCATTTTAGATCTATCAGAAATCCCGTCAATAGTTCTTATCGCGTCGTTGGATCATTTCTCATACGTACTACTACGTACTATTTTCGTTTGCTTTATATATCAAATTTTTTATCAAATTTAAATTTCCTTGATTAGGCTTTGTAAAATTTATATATTCAGAAAAAATATTAAAAATTTTACAAAGCCTCATTTCATATGAAAATGAAATGAGACTTTGTAAAAATTTTAATGTAGTTTCTGAATATATAAATTTTATTTACTAAAAATAATCAGAGTCTGAACATAGATCAAGTTGTTTTATTCTTGATTAAACATAGCAAACCGAATCACGAACTTTTCTATGGGATGGAGGAAGTATAAAATAATCTAAAAGCACTCCGGGCATTAGGGCAGAGCACGGGTCGGGTTCGGGCGGGTCGGGTTCAAAAATGGTAAACCCGTTCAGGTATCGGATTGATAATTTCAAACCCTACCCTATCAAAAAATTTATTGGGTTTTTCGGGTTGAAGAAGTTCGGGTTGCGGATGGATTGGGTCCATTCGGATTTTAATTTATTATTGTTGAAATTGTGATAAACAAAATGGTAATTGGTAAAAATAGCATTCAAAGTTATACCGGTATAACATTCAAAGTCGTAATAGTTGTATAAATACAGTAATCGACATATTTGAGTATGTAAAATAATAATATATGGTGATTGACATATTTGATATCGTGATAAATAAAATGATAATTGGTCAAAATATCATTCAAAGTCAAAACAATACAACATTCAAAGTTATAGTTGTACAAATACGATAATTGGAATATTTGAACATGCATAATATGGTAATTGACATACAATAATTGAGATATTTGAACATGAATAATAATTCAAAGTAGTATATATACTACGCTAGTTCGGTTTTTCGGGCGGGTCGGGTAGCATAATTGGTAACCCTACCCGCTACCCGCTTAAGTCTCGGGTTGCAAGAATCAGATCGGGTTTGGATATTTCGGGTCGGGTTTTCCCACCCCAACAAAAAAATCGGATATATCCGATCGGGTCAATCGGGTAGGGTCGGGTTCGCTCTCCCCTACCGGGCATCCTTTGATTACATATGTTGGATCTGTCGTCCCTGAACTACCTAACAATTTAAGGTGAGTGCACCTCACGTCTTCTTTTAAGATATGGAGCCCGTTTGGTAACACTGAAATCGCCTAAATTGGCTGATTCTGCTGAAATTTATGAAGTTCTGACTGAAGTGGCTGTAACGGCGATTCTGCTAATTTATGAAAAAAATAAATTTAAAATTTATTTTATTGATAAAATAAAGAAAAAGTTATATGTAAAAATAGTTAATATGGTCATCTATAGTAACTTCGACCGATGCAGCCAGAAAAGTAACTTCAACCTTACTTTTTTTTATTACGACACATTTCAGCGCACGAAATCAAAAGTTACGTGTTTGGTAAAAAAGTTGACTGATAAGCCTGATAAGTTAAAAAACATATTAGCAAAAAGAATGGACAACTTTGCTTTCAAGTTTCAATCGCTATACGTGTGTAACAAAAAGTCAAAAACTTAGGGAAATTTAGGGGGGGGGGGGGGTCCCCAATATAATTAAATTGAAGTTTATTTCTCACAAAATGTCCCCTCTTGAATAAAAAATGTATGTAATTGCGATTTTTTCATAATATTAAAAGTTGTCAATGCAAGATTTTAATGTCATTTACAAATGTTACTGCTACTCTTAAACACGTTAGTGTGTCACTCACTAATTACCACCACCAACCACCCTGCCGACACCACCATCCCACCGCGGCCATTTACCCATGTCCCTCACCCATCCCCACGCCCAAACACCCCAAACCCTAACCCCTTCCCTGCCCTACTGATAAGTCTGATTTGTTCATATATTTTTACTCACTTTTTATAGCGTCTTGTCAAACTTGAGGCATATTGAAGCATTTTTCTGCGTTTTTGTTGCATTTGTGTTAATGTTTGAAATTAGTGTCAAAATTTACGTTTTTTAGTAAATTGTGTTTAATTCAAGTGTTTGGATTGTTTTTTGTTTTGTTTTTCACTTGCTTGTGTCATATACATTTTGTAATTTGTTAAATTTCAACATTCTACAGAGTATTA